TTCTGCTTTGATACGACTGCTTGGGCCCTATAATTCTTTGGGACTTACCGAGAAACGTTTCAGCCCGACAATACTGGCTCGTTAGACTCGCTCTAATCGCACTTGCCGAATTACGCTACATTTGTATTCGCCCATATAACCTCATTGCTACGAGCGACGGGAGATTTTATTACGAAAATTTACAATACGCACGCGTAGCTGCTAACACCGTGATTGTCGGTCAGTCTTCAGCTGGTTACCCCAGTTACTCCAATTACCTCGGTTGTCCCGGAGGAAGCCGTAGGACTACCTTGGAAGGGAACAAGGAGTCAATAAAAAAAGAATGGTTCAGGTAGCTGAGCTGCACGTGCCTAGGAGCAGCTGCAATTTCGGCGGCCATCTTCGGCTTCACCATCGCTGCTACTAGTGGTACCAGTGGTGGTGTACTTACTAATACAAACGCTCCTCCCGGCTACCATTACCGTCATGCATCCACCTCGCCCCCTCTCACTCGCTCCTATTCGGTCTCTACTGGCTCTCGCTTCCTCCCTCGCCCCTCTTTCGTCTCCTCGATCTTCTCTTTAGCCTCGTAAATTGATATTCACTTCCGCTTCTCTTTTTTGAAGCCTGCACCTACCTTAGAGGGGACCCAAGGGTTATTTTTCCGGGCCACCTTTGGTACTCATTTTATCCTTTTTTTTCGAACCTTGCTCGACTTTTCTCTAATTTTAGGGTTGCTCTTAGTTTTGAAAATTGGCAACTTTTTTTTGGCAAGTAATCTGAAAAGGTAGGATTAAGGCAAAACCCAATGAGTGGATATCGAGTTACGATCTTCATCAAGTACGAGGTGGAGGGGGTAAGTAGGGGAGGATTTGACGATGGCAGCGACGGCGGAGAAGCTCACTCCTATCTCGTAAGGATCAGCCACGCGTCCTAGCTGCCATCTGTTGCGCCCTTGGCCTAAAGCACCGAAGGACTCAAGGACCAAGCGAGGACTGGGTCGGGGAAATGGGAGGAGACTGTGGGGGTCCTGCTTTTGAGGTCATCCGGTTGGGTCCTCTGCCTACCTCAAGCACCTCAGCCCTGAGGGAAACCGAACGACCGCACGTTTTTAAGGAGTTTGTATTGCAACTCGATGCCACCTTTGCTCACCTTTTGAAACCTTTGGAATTGCCTGGAATCGCGTGGAATTGTCCGGAGTCGCCTGCAGTATCCGTACTCGCTTTGCCACTGTCTTATTAGACGCACGCAACTCCCCGACTTTCATGCGACGAGTATTGCGTGCGGTGTCATTAGCTGCCATGCACCTTTTGTGATTTATAGGTAAAACCTGTAAAGCCCATAAATCCACTTAAACCCGAACTCTGCATGCTATAGACCATTTATCCTAATACACTGCACCTATACCACCTGCGTGTGCACTCCCTCCCTTCTGTTATTCAGACCCATGGAATTTCAACTGCTGACCACTTTTTGCATAAGGAGGATCAATGGGTCAATCGTCCCTTTGGGTAAATTCAACCGTTGGACAAAATTATCTTATCACCCAAATAATAACAATAATAAATAAATAAAGTACAAGCTCACTCTTAGTATTTTCTGAAACGTTCAATCTTCTAGCGAATTATCTCGTTATTTTGTTCCTGATCGACGTCGTGGAGTCAAGTGAGCGCTGAGTCGTTTTCATGTTGAATCCTGGCGTGTAATAGGGCCAGTTTCTACGAGATAATATCGCTCGATTAAAATCGCCCGAAGATTCAGGGTTGTTTTGCATGACGGTGCCGAGTCCGAGAAATGAGATAAATAAAAGTTTGACCGGGCTAGGAGCAGCAGCCGCAGGACCAGAAGCTGCTGAGGCTCAGGCGGAGGCAGAAGCAGACGCAGCTGCCTTGGCGAAGGAACTGAAGATGCAGCACGTGTTCCTGGAGGCAGGTGGCTGCCGTCATTAAGCGATTGCCTCCCCCTCAGCGGGCTGAGATTTTAACGAGGCTCCAGGGAAGAGGCTGGGATCCTTGTACTTGCTCTCTCTCTCGAATTCTTCATAGGAGGCGAACGAGGGAGCGAGATAAGATTTTCTGTTTGCGTCCGAGATGATTCGTCGAACGGAACTTGAGTGGTGGGAGAAGGAGCAGGTGATGCTGCGAGTAGCACGTCGTCACTGTGCGGACTCTTGCGCTGGCAGCAGTCAAAGAAGTATTTTACTGCCGATTAATAAGCGGTAATAACGTGTTTCGAGAAGCGTCTGCAAATCTTTCAGCGACGCGAGCCGCTCGGGAATGATCGGGGACGATCGGGCAGGATCGGAGGAAATCGCAGGAATTCTGAGCAGGTGGATGCTTGGTGGCAAATTTGTATTCGTAGCGTTTATCGTCTTCGCTGACTATTCGGGTAGGCATCGGGGAAAAAGAAATTTTATAAAAATAAAAATAGCTTCCAATTCAAAGACAGACACGATTTCGAAAATAATTAACAATTTGAAGTTCAACAAGATTTACAAGATCTCCGCTTATACGGTATTGCGTGATTTTGGGTATATGAAATTTGAATTTTGGTGCGTATAAAAAAAAAATTGTAAAAATATTTAAATCGACAGAACACAAAATATCGTGAGGCACATGTCAGATCGGATTGTTCTTAAATCCAAAAATTTCGTCAAAACTCAAAAAGGATCTTTACTATGCGATTCTAGGGACTTCGATCTTTTTGAAAAAAAATTTCAAAGCAAAGAAAGGTAGCGAGGTGCGCTGTTCCCTTTTATACACATATATAGCCTCGCTCTCCTCTGTGGGATGCAGGGGGTGTCGGACGGTCAGGACGAGCGGGAAGGGTGGTGGGAGGAGTAGGGGGGGTCGAGCGGGCAGTTTTTCTTTCTTTGGTAAATCAGATGCAGTCACGGTTCTTCTTCTCGCTAAGGCAGCAACAGTTGGCGAGGAGGAAAACATCTGTCGCTCGTGGCGCATGCGCAGAACGCAGGTAAAACCTGCGCTCAGGGATTCTCAAATTTTTTATTTAATCCCGCCAAAAAATTTCATTCCACGTGTCGTCTTGATCATCGAAAAAAAAAAACAAAAAAAAGACATACGGTTCGTCGATCTGCCGACCTTGAATTTTTCACAACAGAACCGGAAGTCGATAACAATGTGTCAATCTACTTGACGTACACGTGGCACAATTACTCATTGTCATTATTTACTGCGTGAATTAGTAGTACGCACGTACGGCAGTGCATGCCCATATACAGGCCCACGAGTTCTCTGGGAACTTAAATCAGGCAGAGTCTACATTCTGATAAATTGTTACGCAATATATGAAAGAAAAAAAGCGGTACAGCCAGTTTATCGACTCGACGCGTAATTTACGGAAGATAAGAATTATGAGGAATGTCTCACGACTGCGTACAAGTAATATATTATACGGATGAAATTGTTCGATCAGTGATTGTGTTCGAAGGGAGAGGCGGAAACTATAATATATGCGTACGTCGATAGGATCCTTCGATATTTACGAGCGCCGGAACCACCGAGTCCCTGGTTATCTCGTGAACACGTCCCGAGAATCATCTCGTAAGATTCATAATGTTTATCTGCCGTTAAAAAGTCCCTGCGCGCCAGGGATCAATTCATAAATCCGAACGTAACGATAGTCCCCACTTAGAACGTCGATCCCCGTGAGATTTTGAAAATCCAAAAAAAAAATATATAAATGAATTTTTAATGACGCCTCGATTTGCATCGCTGAAATCATTGAACGACGTCATTGGCAATTTAATAAATTTCAGTCGCTCGTGCGCGAAGCTGAATTGCACAGGGTGTGGCTGTAGGAAGAAAAGATTGTCCATTGTTGCTATCGTATTAATGCAAGTGGGTACGTGTACAGTACTGTGATTTGCATTTAAGTACTCGGTATATATCGTGAACTCTTGGTAGTCGCAAGGGTGAGTCATTTAATAATGAGAATAGTACCCTCGTGCACGAAGGGGTTGCTACCCTTGGGCATTGAGGACGCGTGATGCAATAAACTCGCGAAAAGATTGTCATGTTGATCCATGGATATGGTTTACACTGTGTATAGGTATAGGAGACAGGACGTAGGGAACGAAAGGTCCTGTTAGTCAGCTTCGCGGTGCCCAACCACGGGGAACAAGCGACCAACTGACCGTTTCTAATGAAACTGATCGCCAGCGACAGTAGCTGGTGTTGCTGCAATGGATACTCGATTTGAAACACGAGTACGCGTGTTGAAACGGTAGGTCGTGACTTTTTGTCGCTTGGTGGAAACGCAATGCTGCTGTTTACCGTAACGGGATGGTCGTTACTTGCGGGTGGGACTAATTGCCGATAGGACTACTAGGAAAGATTCATCAAGGACCATGTCGCTTAATGGGTGATATTCTGATACTGAAGATGGGGCTTATCGGTGTCTCGAACCGCAAAGGTCCTCGGGATGCTATGACGTAAGTCGAGGTCTGTTCTAAACCTCGGATCTAGAAATTGTAGATCTGAAACTAGGTCACCCGGATAGGTACTTCCTAGTAATAAAGTCCTTGGTCATAAAATATTTATATAAGTCTTATACAGGATGAGTAGGTGGATCCTGAAAGAATATTCTAGAAAGTGGGACGAGTGCTGCGCCATTGTTTCCAAGTAGCTGAATAGTTGGAGAGATAACCTGCTAATTATCCTCGTCCAATCTATTCGTTTGAAGGTCGCGTTGTTTTACTTGAATCTTTCTTGAATCTACAAGACCTAGTCCAGGTCGATTCTCGTCCTCGGCAGCGACTTCGCTCTTGGTCCATGGTACTTATGTAGGTCCCTTAGCGGTCTCGTGAGGTCATCCGAGGTAGGGCCCTGGGCCCAAGGGCAGGACCGAACAGTGGAGGAAGATGTGAATTTGAGAGACACTGGGTATCTGTGCCGAGCGCCACGCGACCAGGTCGTCCAGCCCGGTTGGGTGCCTGATGCCTGGTGCCGGGTGTTGTTCGAATGAACGTGGTGGGGTTCCTTCGACCACTATAACCAAGGCTCAAGCCTTCAGTCGACTCTCGGCTCTCACTGCGTCGAGGCTGAGATTCCCCATTAATTAGTTGCACCTTCGAAAAAGTTTAAGCAGCACGTACGCCACTTTGGATTCCTCGAAGAAGTCGTTCGGGAGGGACTTAAAGGCTGAATACGCAGGAGAGCGACGCGTCGTTGTTTGATACTTGATCGTGTGGAAGTTGTGGCAATTTTTTTTCTCTCGGTCTTGACGTCGGGAGTCATCGACCGATAGAGTTTGGGTAGAGCAAGACGTGGACCGTAGTTTCCTGAGGCTGTCCTGGGATCGCGAGTGCATCGATCGATTTTTATTGACTGATTTTATTGACTTTGTGACCGGATTTGAGAATTGATCGATGTAATTTTTTTTTATTATTTTGAAAATGACGGGATCAAAGTGACAATCACACCTGCAGCCACCGGGTCCATTAAAGGATTAGTGTTGACGCGTGATTGGAGGTAATTTCGAAATTTTTGACTTTGGATCTCTATATCGGTATTACACTTTTATTCTGGATCGGTGAGGATCGGAACTGAAGTTGAAATCAAAGGAGCGACCAGGATCGATACCTCGATATTAAAAATATTCTACGGATCATCGGTTCCTCATTATTATTCAATCCGATAATAGAACCCTTCTACGCTCGTGGCTCGATTAGTCTGATCTGCGGTAATCGAACTTTCATCTCTCATTGGTCAATCACCTATCTTGCGTCACGTTCGATCCTTTGGCTGGTACCCACAAGCGCGCGATCAATTTCCAGGCATTAATTAATATAAGGGTCCAGGGAGGAGACGAAGGGAGGGAGCATGTCAAAAGAAGAAAAAGCCAAGAGATGAATAGAGGCAGGTAAAGCGAGAGAGAAAGAGAAGGAAAATAAAAGAAGACGAAAATTACCAAGAGATCAGAAGAGATAGTCGACGAGAAAGAGAAAGACGCCTCGTGAGCAGATGCAGGAATCTCGATCTGGCGCCATGCCGAAATAAGAGACTCCTTGAAAGAGAGCTAAAAGAATACAGAGGAGAGAGAGAGAGAGAGAGAGGGAGAATAGAATAACAAGGCACATAAGAGGGACGCTTGTGAAACACCTTCAGTAATCTTCAAGGTGCTGGTAGCGCGTTCGCGCAAGGCGTCCCGACGCCACCATCGATGAATACAAACTAGCCAGCGACGCTACCGTCGGTTCCAAACGTAAGGACGGGAATTCCTGGGTCTCGAGGATGCTGTGCGGTACCTTCAAGAAGAAGAGGAGGCAGCCCGGAGACGAGTATCGTCTGGTCAGGTCCAACACGCTGCCCAGGATCATCTCAGCCAAGGACAACGCACTGCCGGTATCAGTGCGCAGATGCAAGTCGACCCGTGCAGCGGCGAAGACGTCCTTCATCAGGACTCTTCTTCAAACGGTAAGGACTCTCAATTCGACTCCATCTCTTTCGCATTCCGACTCCATAGCTATTTTGAATGAGCCTCGTGGATGGCCTGGAGCCCAAGGAATCGGGGTCGAGGTACAGGGACCACGATTTGGGCATCTCGGTGTCATCGTCCTCGGTCCGTGTTTGTTCAAAGCCCCGAAGGCGGCAGCGGCGACTGGTCACGAGACGTCCCAGCCTGTCGCTATCTCCCCTTTTTCTGCTTCGCCTCGTTCTCATCGTTTTGCACCGCGTCTTCCCGAAAGTTTCGTTTGCTCTTGTTGCTCGCTGCTGGTCTAAATCGGGCGCAGCAGCGCGGCGCCCGTTGGCTGAGGTCGCGGGGAGCGGGGAAGGTGGTAGGAAGAAATCCTGGTGTCCTGGCCGAGCATCGCGGCGAGGAGGAGGATGAGGGGAGAAGGTAGACGCATGTTCAGGACAGGAGGTGCAGGAACCTGCATCTTCACCTTATAAGGTGCTCCAGGAGATGTCCGACTGTCCATTAGAAATCCTTTGTTGCGTGCTCGCCCTGATGTTTTTTCTGCGCTGTCGCGTCGCCCGCGGAATCCTGCTTCGATTTTACGGGAAAGTTATTGGCCTGGTCAAGGACGCGGAGGTGTCGCTGGGTCGAGGTTGCATCTTGCACCTAGCTTCATCCTGAGTTCCAGTTGCTCCTGCTCGAGCACTGCAGAACCTTTGGGTTTCCGCGTTATTTTATGATTATGACGATCCACGTCGATTTGACGTACCGGAAATGTCCTACTGAGTCCGGCGTCGCTGAGTTACTCGTAAATTTCACGCGAGCAAAGTGAAACAATGATGGTGGTCTTCTGTTTCGCCGTGCCGAAGTGAAATCGAGCACTGGACCACGATAGAAATCGATCATCTTCATCGGAGATAACTTATCTAGAGTTCGTAGTGGCAATCGGTATCCCTGCTGGGAAGTTAATCTCTGGTAAATATCTGAAAAAAAATAATTATCTCCCGTGGAGGTTGGCGAGTGTGGGAGAGCGTGGACTTTTATCGTACGATCGTGTCCTTAGCCGTGGCCACTGCCGTACGTTCTGCTGGGTTCAAGAGACAAGAGAAAAGAGAAAGAGGAAAGCAGAAGAGATGATAAGAGTGAAGGGGGGAGAGAGAGAGAGAGAGAGAGAGAGAGAGAGGGAGAGAGAGAGAGAGAGGAGTATATCCGGGACGAGTGCGCGAAGTTTCTCGAACGCTTTGGAATTTCGTGCTTTTTTCTCCAATAAAGGAACAAGAGCGATTGTTGGGACGAAGGTTGTCCCTGCCGGCGATGCGTCTCCGTTTCCCGATTCTGCCGATAGTGGCGCCACCGTCGCCGCTCGGCTCGGCGACAGGATTTTCACGACCTTCGCCCGCTGAAATCCGTCCGTGCGAAGCGAGAGAGAACGACGATATTTCAGAGCGAGAACAATCCTTTTTTTTCCCTGTAGCAATTTGTGTACCCCGGGCTGCCTTTGTTCGTCTTTTTTTCCTTTTCTTTCTCTTTTTCGGCCTCTTCGCTCTCGAGATTCGTTGGTTCGCTCGCCGCGAATATCATGGCGCATTCCTGCACTCCGGGTCCGCGCCCTGCGAATTTCTTCCTCGCTACACTTGTGCACCGTGCCTTAGGTCTCTCTCGGGACTCTTCGCTGGCGACTCCTCCTTCTCCTTGGTCCTTCTCTATTACTACCTTAATGACGCCTTCCTAATGGCTCCTCTGCCTTATCTTTATGGTCGTCCGGCGCTTCGGACTCGTTTCTACGGCTGGAATACCTTGACGATGTCGCTCACGTTGTTCTACCGATGATCTTACAGTTATCGTCCTTCTCGACCGATCTTACGCCCTTTTATCGCCTGCCAACAAGTCCTCCACAGTCCGGAGAGATAGGGAGGACTAAGTGGAAAGGGGGAATAAGAATCCGAACGTTCCGTGTCCGACGTTCGGATTAAGGGATGAGGCGTCATTGCAATTCCAATTGGAATTTCAGGCTTAAGGCTTCAGGCGGCTGGGATTAGCCTGAAGTCACACTCGGTACCCTTAATAAGGCTTCGTTCTCATTTGTTTCAATCACACGCGTCGACTGACTTCGCAGCTTCCTAGAGTGCGTCGGTGGCGCCGTCCTCGGTATTTCTTCTAATTACCACTAACTGGAGTTAATCGTCGAGCTGGCTCGCATGAAAGACCCGCAAAAACCGACCGATTTTATCAGCAGCCTGAGCGGCTTGCTGGGATAATTGGACGGCGCCGCGGGACGCTTTTTCATCTCATTCTTCGAGACTCTTTTTTTTCTTCTTCTAAAACTCCGTATGATAACTTCGTCCAATGTTGCTCGTTACGCGTACTGCGAATTCATAAGAGACCAAAAAGAAAAAGAACGGTCGTTAGATCAGTCCCCTTTCATTTATATGATTTCTCTTACTTATCTTTAACAATTCTGAAAAATTCACTTCTCCTCCACCCAAGAATTATTTCGTTCGTGTATCTCAGTCCGTGCCTTAAAAAAAAAACCGAAATGAGTTGCGGACTTCCCGCGGAGTCGGTAGAACGAGAAACGTGAAAGGAGAACGAAGAAACATGCAGACTTGGCTCGTGCGTCCCGACGCGCCGCGGCGCCTCCCTTTACCTTTCGGCGATGTAAATCTCAGCCTAAAGGCTGAGAATAAAATTATGCCTCAAAGTAAAGCCAAGTACGAAATTCCATTTTGTAAGTTAAAAAAATTATTGTTTAAAAAGTTCTCCAACCTAATGCCTCATTGTTGGCAGAACAAGATGGCAGGTTATATTCAGCACGTCGCGTAGGTGGGAAATTGATGAACCCTGCGGTCCTGGACGTGAAGACGTAGGTGAAGTTTTAGTCGCGGAGTTTACGACGACATCGATACATCATCCCAATTCACACGTCCCGAGAGAGAGCACAGTCCTGTGTAAACCACCCACGCTCAGGGATGATGGCCAAGCGGACGGAACACCCGTTATAAGGATGGGACGTCTTGTGGGACTCATTGAGATGCGTCGCCGCAGCATAATGGCGCTATAACGTTGAACAAACACACAGTACATATATCGTAGAAGCCTAACCCTGTAACAGTGTAGTATTAATCTAGCAGTAGTATAGCCATATATAGTCATGAAAGATAAAAGACTCGCATAATCGACTGCCCTTACTATCGTAATATCATAAGCGTCCAGCTAAGCCTGAGACCATTTGAATTTAATAGCCAGCCGACGGACATAAAGCTGCATTACGTCTGTGTTATTTTTGAATTTGTATAGTGGAAGAGGGACGCGAAGGCATAGTGATGGGGTAAAGTATAAAAAAATAAATAAGAAAAAAATGGCGGACGAAATTAATTTTTTGGATTTTCATTCATCTCGAATTACCGTAGTATTGGAATATTTGCCGGCTGGCCGCCGTTACGGTTAGGATGCTGCGAGAGGAATTGGGGGGTGAACGCTGTTAATTAATATAGGGTTGATTAATAATTGTTCGTATGACGAGAGACTTGAGTTATATCTATAGACTATAATGGACAGTGTTGCCAAAGCGTAGATAGAATCCCGGAATTTTATTAGCGATTTCTGTATGGCTGTGATAAATACAGTCGAAGGGTTCGTTCACACCGGAAATTGATTTCCCGCCGGCATGCGGTTGTACCGTGTGGATACAGGTAATCTTCGGCGCTCCCGTAATCCTCGATTCGCAACGCGATTCGAACCTGCGCCAGATACTTTCTACGAAGACGTAATTTAGTTACCGGCTGGTACCGGTTTGATCGGCGCACTTCGTCATCGTCCTGGGCACTTCCGCGCGTCCGCAGGAGTCGGTGTCGATGAAACCGCGGCGCCAGTCGGTGGCCAATGTCAATGTCAATGTATCATCGGCAATTTCATAGCCAAATTCAGTACCGATTTCGATAACGTATTCAGCTCGACACTCGTCGATACTCCGATTTTGATCGATCGGTAACATCCTGCCGGCAAGCCTCAAATCAATTAACTCAACCGCCTGTAGTTCGGTACGTGTACTGGCCGTGCCTGTTATATATATATAAGCTGCTATATAGATATAGATAAACCACGGAGTGTGAGCTCTAGCATATTTCGAACGCGGCGTCCTGAATGCGTGCATGTACGCCTCGTGGTTGCTAGGGGCAACTGTGCCTAACGCATCCCAGCGTCAGGACTCTGTCTCCCTCTCTCTCTCTCTCTCTCTCTCTCTCTCACACACACAGACTTACTCTCGGTTGCATAGAGCCATGCCTCCTACGTTTCTCTCTCTCGCTCCCTCGCCCTCCCCCACTGCCGGCAGTACCGTATTATCCGTGTTGGTCTGGCCCGAGATCAGGGATGTAGCATCGTACTTCATTAAAGGCAACGAGGCGCGACCAAGTGCTAAGGCACTGTTTGCCAATATTTCAGGGGCCCCTCGGCCAATTGGCACGAGACTGTTGCTGGGATGGATCCTTATGATCCTGTGAGGGATTCAGATCGGAGGATCCTTAGCGAACAAAGGATGTGGAAACGGCGACGATATCCTGTCACGTGAAGGAAGTTTGCTTCGTCCTGGAAATTTCCTTGGACCACGTCATCCTTTGCTTGCCGTTAATTCTTATCGGGAGTGACGATAACGATTACCCCTCGTTCCCTTTCTGCATCTTTTTGCAAAAGCATCGTAAATTGTCTCTTTAAATGGTCGTGTGGGATTTATAAATTTACTCGAATTCTGATCGATTCCTTAACGCAGCAAATGTTCCCTCGGCACTAGGAAGGATCGTCGTCCCTGGATTCATCCTGGACTCCTGGAGTCCTAGGTTTTAAAGAGGGGAGGTAGAGGCTGCGTGAACGCTGATTGGTGGGGTTGGGCACGAGGGGCTTCCTGGCCGAGAGGAAGGGGAAGCTGTCCAGATAGAGGAAGGAGTGGTGTACAGAGGGAGATCGGTAAAGAATAAGAGAGACAGAGAAAGACTCATGGCTGTTGGGGAAAGAGAGAGAG